GGTTCTTCACAGCGCAATCCGTAGTGGTCACTAGAGCACCTTCCCTCTTATCATTGGTCACTTCTCTCTATGGTGTGCAGCAGGTACTTGCGTCAATGTGGACGCCTTGCGAGCTTAGAGTAGTACGAGTTTGCACGTCGGTATTTCCACATGAGCCTCTTACAGTTTTGGAGGTCAGACCTCGCATTGGCTGGTCATCATATAAATGGTAAATTCAAGGTCACAAGTCAAAAATTCCATGTGAACACCCAACAAGCTTGGAGCACACCATGCTCCATCGTACACGTAGAACATTTGGGTTTCCGAGTGTGAAATTGGATGTTGACCCCTACGAGCTCGGAGCTCCGATGTTCCGTTTGCATGGATAATCTGTTTCCAAGTGGGAATTTCCACATGAGCCGCTCTGAAGGTTTATATCTCCGATGCTGCGTTTGTGGGCCGTCCTATAGATGGAGAATTCCAGCTTATGAGTTGGAAACTCCATGTAAATGCCCAACAAGCTTGCAGCTGCGTTCACGTTGCATGCACATGAGTCCCCTACGAGCTTGGGTGCCATGTTTGTGTGGTGTCCTATGGGCGGTAAATTCTAGTTTCCCAATGTGACATTTCACATGAGCCCCCCTATGAGCTTGGAGCGCCGATGCTGCGTTCACATGGCATCTTACAGGTGGTACATTTCAGGAAATTCGATGTCATGGCTCTAAAAAAAAAAGCTCAGTGCTCCGAAAATTAGAGTTCAGATGCTGCATTCACGTGGCGTACTATGGGCGGTAAATTCCAGTTTCCGACTGTGAAATTTCACATAAGCCCCGTATGGGCTTGGAGCTCCGATGTTGCGTTCACTTGCCGTCGTACAGACCATAAATGACGAGCTTCCTAGTTGGAAGTTCCATGTGAATGCCCAACAAGTTTGCTGCTCTGGCGCTGCGTTCATGGCCCATCGTGCATAGGGCCGATGCTCACAGCTCCGTCATGGTCAGCATTCCCCGTATCTGTGGTCCAGTCTGATGCGCATTGCAACATTTGTGTGCACATTTACATGCGTATGTGAACACAGTCATTCATTCAGACTGAAGGCTGATGTGATTCTGTGCCTTCGCTGCCACCACCTGCACTTTGTTTACATCCCCCTACCCTTAGGCCCTGAATGACTCATTGACCAGACAATGGGACAGAATTACCCCAATCTTTTGGTCTTCTGTGTCTGTGCTCTCGCTGTTGCCAAGTGGGATCATTCATTCAGGGCCCGGGGTGTGTGTGTGTGTGTGTGTGTGTGTGTGTGTGTGTGTGTGTGTGTGTGTGTGTGTGTGTGTAAACAAAAAAGAGCAGGCAGTAGCGCCGTGGCCACAGAATAATCTCAGCCGTCAGGACTGCCGTCTCACCATGGGGTAAAGTCCAGAGATAGCCACGCTGGTCTGTCCTTCTATGAGGAGAGGTCTGTGTTACTCCGGGCCCGCTCACATTTAGCTGCTGTTTGTTCTGCCGTCATAACATCTGATTAGGGCTACAGCTAATGATTATTTTCATCATTGATTAGTTGCCCGATTATTTTTTCGATTAATCGATTGGTTGCATTCCATAAATCTCTCTCGATCTCCCCTCTCTCTCGCTCTCGATCTCCTCCCTCTCTCTTTCTCTCTCTTCACCCCCCTCCCTCTCTCTCTC